GGAGGCAAATCAAGCCCCGTCGAAGGGCATGGCACGATGGCCATCGACACCCTCGACAGCAAGCAGAACGTCATCAGCATCACCTGCCATGATGTCTCGTACATCAAAGACTACCCGACGACGCTTATTTCAGCCAGGCAGCTCCAACGCCAAGGACTCGGACTGGACTCGCTCAGGAACATGCTGTTCAACCCAGCCACTGGCTCAGAGATCCCACTTCAGGAGAAGGGTGGCCAGTATGCGGTGAACACCCTACATAGCACCACTTCCTTCTATCACTCCAAGAAGCAGAGAGCCGCGATGGTCAGCGACTCGAGGCTCTGGCACGAACGGCTGGCTCATGCCCACCCAGAGGCCATACAGCAGCTGCCATACAGCTGTACTGGAGTTGGGGTGAAAGGGCCAACAACATTCGAATGCGAGTCTTGCGGGGTAGCGAAATCCAAGAAGATTGTATCTCGGAGACAGCCAACGTACACGACGACGAATCCATTTGAGCGCGTCAACCTGGACTTCTTCAGCCCTGGGAAGTCGTACAACGGCATGGAGTCGTGCCTTGTAATAACGGACGCATATTCGGGGAAGATTGTTGTCAGGATTCTGCCTGCCAGAGCAGATGGCTTCCAGGCGTTTATCAACTTTGAGATGTTTCTCTGGAGACAGTACCATCTGGTCATCAAGGTCCTGAGAGTTGACTGGGACTCAGCACTACGCAGCAATCTGGTTACTTGGTCAGAAGAGCGCGGCATTCTCTTGGAGAGATCAGCCGCAAGGACACCAGAACAGAACGGTGCCGCAGAACGCAATGGAGGCACGATATTCACCATCGCAAGAACCCTTACCTCGGCTGCTGGGTTCCCGGAGGATTTGTGGCCAGAGGTGGTACAAACCGCTGCATATCTCCACAATCTCACGCCGAAGGGACGCCTACAGTGGGCGACACCAGAAGGAAGGCTGAACGACTGGCTCAACTCCAAGGGCCTTGCCGCTCGAACTACGGCTCCAGGCCTGGCTCACCTGCGAAGATACGGATGCAGGGCGTATCCTCTCACGGCAGACGCCCAAGAGGGACGTAACCGAAAGCAGAAGCTGGCTCCGAGAGCCCACATCGGCTATCTCTGTGGATACGACAGCAGCAACATATACAGAATCTGGGTTCCAGAGATGAAAGCAGTATTGAGGACAAGAGACGTGGGTTTCGATGAGTCCACAGTTTTCAAGGACGCCCAATCCCCAAAGCCAATTCTACAGGACGAATTCCAGGCTTTGGACGTGCCCGTTGCGGACGCCCAGAATCCTTTCAACTCGTCACTGGACATTGACGAGTTCGATGTTGCCACCATCGACCTGTTCGAGAAAGCCCGGACATTCCAACTTGGAGGAAAGATCAACGCGGAGATACTGCGACCCCGGGAAGGTCACACAGCCAGCAGAGATGATGTCCTGCCGTCACCACGTCCAACTCCAGAGACGGAGACTGGACAAGGCCAGCCAGCTGTCTCTGAGGGGGTGGAAGATGCCGTAATAGACACCATTCAAGGGGCTGAAGATGCTGTGGAAGACACGATCCCCGTGCCAGACACCATTCAAGTGACTGAAGAGGCTATTGAAGACACTATCGAAGTAGCTCGGAGCCCTGAATCAACACCTCAACACACACCAGCTGATCAAAGTTCAGCTGAAGACGAGACAGAGACTGTGGAGGCCCGACCATCAGTGGCACCAGCCCCACAGCCGTCGCCATCAACACAAATCCAAGGCACTCGAAGGAGCGCTAGAGACAGAAAGCCGTCACAGTTCAAAGACGGCACCCCCACCGACCAGGCTCTAGGAGCCCGCCGCAGCAAGAAAATGCCTCCATCATCACATTTGACCGTGGAATACTCATTCTTTCACACTCAGACTCCATCGAACAAGAAACCGCTTCTCCGAACAGATATGCCCGCGGAGCCAAGATCCTGGAAGGAGATGCTTCATTCTGATCACAAAAAGCAGTGGCTAGAAGCAAGCGTCCAGGAGGTCAACACCATTGAAAATATGGACACAATCGAGCAAGTCCCCTTCGAATCGGTCGACCAGGAAATACACAAGGTTCTCGGGTTGACCTGGGTCTGGAAATACAAGGTTGACTCCACCGGCTACGTGACCAAGTTCAAGGCCAGGCTCTGCGTACGAGGAGACCAACAGCCCAAGAATGAGATGGAAACATACGCGTCGACACTGGCAGCCAAGACGTTCAGAACGTTGATGGCCATCTGTGCAGAGTTTGACCTAGACACGCACCAGTTGGATGCCGTCAACGCCTTTCCAAATGCACACCTCGACGAGACAGTCTACGTCTGGGCCCCTCAGGGCTGGGATCTCATGCAGGAGATGCAACAGAAGAAGGGCGCTCCACAGAGGCGCACGATTTTCAAGCTGAAGAGAGCTTTGTACGGTTTGCGCCGATCACCGCTTCTCTGGCACAAGCTGCTGTCCGAGGCTATGCGGAAGATCGGCCTCGTGGCTCTCGAGGAAGATAACTGTGTCTTCATGGGCAGAGGCATGATCATGTTCTTCTACGTTGACGACATCATCCTCATGAACCGCAAAGAGGATCGCCAAGCGGCCGAAGAGCTGAAGAGCCAGCTCAAGTCTCTGTTCGAGATGCGAGAACTTGGCGAGGTCAGATGGTTCTTAGGCATCAGAGTGGTCAGAGATCGTAGCCAGCGCAAGCTCTGGCTGTCTCTGGAGAACTACATCACTGAAAAGATGAAGGACCTCAACCTCCAGCCATCCACCAGAGGTCATTTGACGCCTCTATCAACAGACCCAGCACCTGCTCCAAAGGATTACGAAGCCTCTGCTGAATCCATTCAACTATACCAACGCAAAATTGGTTCCATCAATTACGCAGCAACCACAACACGACCTGATGTGGCCAAAGCTGCCTCAAGACTTGCGGAGTCTCTGCTCAGGCCGACAGAACTCCATCACCTTGCAGCAGACCACTGTCTCCGCTACCTCTATCGCACAAGGACTCTCTCGCTGTCCTACGGAGGATCAGGAGACCATTCTACATCGCTGTATTGTGCGAGCGACGCATCATTCGGCGATGATCCCATCACCAGATTTAGTTCACAAGGATACACCACCATGCTCTTTGGAGGTCCAATTGACTGGAAAGCTACAAAGCAGCGATCCGTGGTCACTTCTAGCACCGAAGCTGAGCTGGTGGCCCTCAGTGTCGCAGCGAGGAACTACCTTGCCACTCTTCGTCTGATCAAGGAGCTTCAGCTACGTTTTCATGGCAAGGTTCCGATCCAGATGTTCTGTGATAACCGCCAAACGCTGCTGTTACTCACTAGTGAGAGGCCTCAAGCCACTACGAAGCTCAAGCATGTTGACATCCATCGTCTTTGGATCCGACAAACAGTCAGACAGGGGAAGATATCCGTGGACTGGATGAGCACTGACAAGATAGTGAGCGATGGGCTTACAAAGATTCTCCCGACTCAGAAGCATCAGAACTTCGTGAAGCTTCTGCAGATGGAGTGCGTACCAGCGGTCCACCAGTGAACAGCTTGCTCAATTTCGCCCACCTCTCCTAATTTGTTGGAGAGGATCCTTATTTTGCTTCACAAGCACGATTTCCTTCATCTGCCCTGAGAACGCCAACTGTTCCAAAGGCACCAAATTCTCTACCAAAAGCCGCCAACAGGCATCTGCCTGATCTTTCGTGGTTCAGATGGTCAGAGAGAGGCTCGCCTACCCATCTGAGGGGGTGTGTTGCCGATCAGGCAAGGTTCTGTTCTGTGACCCAGGAGTACTTTCATCCCAAATGTGGAGTCCTCATTTGATGCATTTGTTCTGTCGTTATCGCCCCGGTAAGACTCCTTACCGATGCTGGATCTGACCAATTACCTTCGTTTGGACTTCTGGAAGTCTCCTTTTGTACCTTAACAACAATCAATCCACTTTGTTCAATTCCGTGGTGACACCTGGGAAGCCCCCTGGTTATGTCACTAATTCCATATCAGGTTTAGCTAGAGATGCTCCCCTGGTTATAAGGATACTACTGACGGGCCGGGAACTGGGCCCCGCACGGGAAGATCTGGTATCTATCCCCATGCTTGACCGAGGACAGCAACGGATGTTGGTGCTCGAATCAGCTGCTTTGTTCCGAGGCTTTTCACACCCAGTGCGGTTTTCACATATCGTGAACGGCTGCAGAACTGACGTTCCGCTGACACACCTGTGCTCTATTCACACATAGGCGTCACAGCCTGTGCCGTCTTCACAGTCTATACCACCTTCACAGCTTGTGCTATTCTCACAGCCTGTGCATCACAATCAGTACCACCTTTACAGCCTGTGCTTTTTTCACAGTTTGTAGTTTTTTCACGGTCAGGACCATGTGGCACAGCCTGTGCTATCTTCACAGCCTGTGCTGTCTTCGGTCCGAGATAGGAAGACCTGTGCTCGTCACCTGTGCTGGTTTCACATGTGGCGCAACCTCGCTGCGGGGGTTCTTGGCTTCCCTAATTTCCCACTTAAACGAGCCCTTTGCCAGTACGCAACCAGCGGATCCACCAAACACGTCACTTCCAAACACCAGCAACACTACGGTATGTGCGACTTCTTTCGACATGAGGACTTCCTGTCAGCTAATGGGCTAAGCACCTGTCAAAATGAATTGCCCACAATGCGGGAAGGGAAACATATCAGGAAAGACGACTTGCGAATTTTGTGGCGCAGAGCTTCCATTGGCTCTCCATCGACCTGAAACGGCTCTGGTCAGCATCCCTTTGAACCGTCGGCGCGTGCGCTAACTCCGCTACGTACAGTCCGTTGAATGACGCCAACCCACTCGGTGGCACTGACCCATAAATCGCTTCACCATGCGAACATTGAAGTGGATCAGTGGGGGTGGGGTCTTCCTTGATCGCGGGAGCAACTGGAAGTTGGGTATTTTGGTAGTTGAATAAACTCTGTTTGCTCATATTTCACGATGTATGACCCCAAGGTATCCCTTTTTTATTAGAAGAAATGATTGTCCAGTTCAGTACGATCACAACTACTAAGAAGCCTCCAGGGTCCGGAGAAATTGCGTTGCGCGTACATCCAATTTCGGGTAGTTCGACAATGAGTGAAAGTCGAGCCAGAACTCGCGTGCTTCCATGAAGCCAGACATGTACCCTTGTAGGAGTGTCTTCCATTGCTTGTCTTCTTCCCCGAGGCCAATACCAGCACAGGCAAACTCCCACCAAACTGGAAAATAGCCGCTCGCCTCCCAGTCGAGGATGCCGGTAAGGTTGCCGTTTTCGACCATGATGTTCACACTCGTCAAATCCCCATGTGTAAATGTATAAGGCGTTGATGATGGCATCCGCTCTTGGAGTCGTTGACGAGCTCTCTCGGGAACTCTTTCCAATGCCTTGTTCAACTCATCCCAGAGTTCGTCGTCTGAACAGAGCGGACCGTGTGGTACGCCATAACCGACCGGAAACAGGAATGCTGAATAGACCGGTTCTCCGCTCAGGCTCTGGATCAGAGGGGAGTGAAGCTGCCGGAGTTCGGTCAAGTAGTTGGCGGTTTGTTTTGCGACGCGGTGCCTCTCGACGTCGGTTAGGTTTGGCCATGCGACACTCAATGGCTCGCCCTGAACACGTTCGTTCACCATGAAGTATCGCCCATCCTCGCTCCACTCTTTCAGGATAGGCGGAAGCGGAATGGTAGTATTTGCTCTCAAGAACCGGATGTTTCTGGCCTCAAAGTTCGGAGGGCTGGTAGATCGCTCCTTGACAATCAACTTCGAGCCCACTGACCAGGCCCCCCGATCGCTGACGCCGTAAAAGAGTTTCACATGACTGTGGTACCGACATGCATCTTGACGTTCGACAGACCAGCTGCATGCGGTACAATGCGTTTTGGCCGCCATGGAAGGGAATTGGGGAAAAGGGAAGCCCAAGACAAGCGGGGCACTTATCAATGTGGGGACTGTTCGGGCTTTTAATCACCTTACTTTCCATTGCAGCCTGAGGCTTCAAGTCCCACCCCGCCAGGTGCCACTTGGAGACGACAACCCCGCCCGAACCTGCCCAAGAACCTCAGGAGCCCGATATTTCTCCAGCGCAAAACCTACAACTGAGCCCAATCACGACGAAACTGGTTTGCCAGGGCATTATTCCAATGGGCCAGCAAGCCATCAATTTGGCCATCTCAAAAGATGGCGCCTTCTCTTCTGATGATGCGGACATCGGCAGAATGGTGGAGACATTTGCTGACAAGAACTACCCATTCCAAACGGAAGAGGGGCTTACATTTCTCCAAACAGTCCTCAACGATAATGTATAGCCCACCCTACCGCATTTCCGCTGTAAGAGTAACTGACACATCACAGCGTGTTCGAGAAGTAGTTCGATCTTCTTTGGAACGACCGGGTCTGGGCATGTTCAAAGTCTTCGGACCGCATCCGAGAACAGCCCGCGCCCTTCTGAACCGAACGACAGACGAAATGCTCGCCCTCAACGTCCTCCTCTGTCGAAGTCGATCACGGGTCATTCTACATGAAGGTTCTCAAAAATACGAGTTGGATGCAAAGCCTGGAGGAACCGGCCTGTTGGAGCTTCCACGAGAGGCTATGGACGCACCAGGCATCCAAGCCGAGGAAGTCCTGATGAATGAAGGCGGCTTGTAAGCTTTATTTGCATTATTGCCGAACTACGTACGCTAATCCCTTTGTCAGGATTATTACGGACGGTCGCCTCTTTACCACGGTTCTGGAAGGGGTTGGGATTGCCGTTGGATTTGCGGCAGAGAAGGAGCTTGAGGAATGGGGCAAGATGCCGTGGCCGGAGTCACTTGAAAAGATAGTTGCTGAAATGGAGACTGATGTAATCAAAATGAACTTCAAATTTGTGGAGGACAGAAGGTCAAGATGAGTAACTAAGGTATTGCCACAGACCTGACACTTCCGGGCTCATACATCGTGTCTAGAACATCCGTACCATGGCCCGTCCCACCTTGAGAATACATAATAGACGAGGCCGCATCAGGAGCAGTCATGTATTCAGGCGCAATGGAATATGCCAAGCTCCAGTCCATGGGATTCAATGCTAGTGCCGGCCCTCTGGCATAACGATTCGAGGTCGGGCTGTTGTCCACTGTGCCGGCCAAAAAGTCGAAGGCATTAGCGTCGCTGGTGGTGGCCGTTGACGCGTCAAGACTGAACGGCTCTGCGCATAGTCAGGAGGAAACTTCGCGGGGCTCGTGAAAGTAGGTTACAAACCTGTTGCCACACTTATTAGATCCTCTCGCCTGTGCCCCAAGCTTGTTAGCTGAAGTTCCTGTGTGTTCATACTGCTCGCAATGCCTTTCTTAGACATGATTCGTGCAAGTTCATCCCTAGCGAACCTGTGTTGTCGCTTGCGTTGTGCTTTGGCATCTTTCCAAGCATCATCAGTGCCATGGGACCGGAAGCATTGCTTCATATGTGTCTCGTATTTCCGTGCCGACGCGAAGTTCCTCTTGCAGCACGGGCAAGCTGCCTCACAAGGAATATCTGGGGGGCACAATCGTCAACACTTTTCGTTCCGGGGGGGGGTTGTTGTTGGGATTTCGGGGGGACTACGAGACGGGTAATGCCTCTGAAGAGACCTCAGTTCGGTGTAGGATGGTTTGTTTGCACAGCTAGGGTGCGGGCAGAGCAGGTCTTGGTCCCCGCCACCGCTAGCACTATACACCTCATTGCCGGCCGAACCTGCGTGTACCAAAGCTTGTTGCAATTCAATCAGCAGATCCTGCATACGGGCTTGGATTGATTGAACGCGGGACTAGAGTCAGCCGTTCAGCATGGCACATATCATGGGATGGTATGACGAACTTGAGATGACTCAATATGTGCAGATAGCAAGACTTCATCTTGGAATTGTTGATAGCAAGTTTGGCATTGCCATGGCCGTTCCGGTGTTCCAGGCATGGGTGTTGTACAAGTGTTGAGGAGCACGAGAATGAGAGTTCAAGACAGACATGTGGCGATTTGGGGTCAAGTGGGGGATCCTGCGGAGAGAAGGCGCAATTTCGCTGGGTCTTCATCGATACATATATACTTGGTCGGCAAATGTCGGCTAGCAGCGCTAGCTGATCTGCACTGGCACAGGGATATAAGAGACAAGTCCATGGCCCGGGATTTTTAGTCCACCCCCTCCCCCAAGTGTTTTTTCTCTTCGCCCTTCTGAGACACCCACCACGAAAGTCTTCTGAATCGTTGCGCATTACCCTTCTCCTATACCATTGGTGCTGTTACGAAATGGCGCCGTGTCCTGTGTGTGGTGATACAGGAAAGTCAGGCGGCTTTGACTGTGGCCTGTGCGACGGCGGGAAAAACAAGCCATGACCAAGCTTCACAACATACGAGCTGCGGTTGGTACGAATTGAGCATTGCCCGACAACTCTCCCCCACGATCATTTATTCAAGACCCACCAGGGCACCCGTGCCATGGATGAGGCCAAGGTGGACCTGAAGTCGCGACAACTACCTCAACCAGCATCGATGAGGCTGAGCGCAACCGATGGTCTTACGGCGGGAGCAGGCATCTGTACGGCGGAGCCTCTAAAGAAGCAACAAGAACAGAATGGGAGACAGGCAGGGGCGGTACAAACTTGCGCTGAGGCTGATAGGCATCATGGTTGCGCATCCGAAGCTCGGATACCAGTCACAGTCTGCATGGTGTCGCGCCTTCAGGAACATCGGAGAGAACATTGCAGGAGGCGATGGGGCACGTGAGCTCTGGTCGCCTTGGTCGCTGGGCGTCAATTTGTTTGATTAGGCTGCTCAGAGACGCTCGTGTCAACGGGGTGCGAAATGTTGAAACCTCAGCCACAGCGGGGGATTCGCTGTGGCTCATTGATAACAAGGCGCCTCGCTGAGTAACGATTGTAGGTTATAATGCGTATCTTGAGCCAATCATATTGTGGCTGAGTTCACTTCAAGGCTAAGCCTGTCTTGGCTTGCTTGGTCGATTGCATCACCAGCTTCAATCTAGTGTGCACGAACGTCGGGCTGTGGTCAATACTACGCGCTCCTGAAGAGCTAGGAAGGAGCCGCAAGATTCGATGATTGTTCACAAGGCTGCATTGTTGTTGCTGAAGCGGGCGAGCGAGTCAAGGATATATGCCAGTCGGTTCTTTTAATCAGATGGTGCGATACACAACGGAAGCAACAGCCAGGATCTGTTGGCAAAGCTTTGCATGCTTCGACATCCTGATCTGTCCCAGCATTCGCTCGTAGGGCATCAAGGTCTCGTGCGGCGGTGGACGAGTTGTAATATCTTTCCAATTAGTCTTCACTCCAAGTCCTGCCGCTGTTCCCGGAACCTTTGTCGTATCTGAGAGTAGAGCCTTTCGTCCTCCTGTTCCCACGGCTTGTCTCTAGGGAAGATAGTCGTTCGCAACCCGTTTAACAATGGGACGAATGGCTCGTAGTACGGCGTGACATTATCAGTGATTGTCTTCAAGAAGATTGCCTCCTTTGCCACAACGCCCAGCTTCATTCCGGCCAGCTCTTCTGGGTCGACGAAGTTCCACTTGTCAAATCTCGGGACGACTCTGCTCTCATCCGGTCCGTTATAATGAATGCATATCCAGAACAAGACCCAGAAGAATGACTCGAGATCGTGCATGAACGAATGTTGCTCGCCTAGAAGCGCGCCGATCGCCATGAACGCTCTTGTGCCCGTTTTCCCTCTTGCTCCCGACGCACCGTCTCGATGCTCTTTGATGGCCAGATCTAGGTCGATCAAAAAAGATGGCCAAGAGGAGTTGGTGTTGTCCTCATTAACCATGAGATTGCTGATCGAGATGTCTCTGTGGAGCAAGCCTGCCTTGTGCAAAGACTCATGCCCCTCAATGCAGCCTTCCAGCGCGGCAAGCAGAACCGATCGGGAGCTCGCCTTGTAGATAGCGGTTCCGTAGTCGCGTAGGATGACGCGCCTGTGTACGCGATTGGGAATGGCATCGTTGCCTGCCTTTGTTGGTGATGCCGAACAAGAGCGTTTACCAGGCGGCACGGGGGCGCCGGTCTGGCTCGATGACCGCTTCACGCCCACGGTGCTGCTCCGACCTGTTCGTGGAGGTCCTGTCGTACTTGTGCTCCAGGAAATGACCGAACGTTCCGGCCGATAGTTCCTCGCCTCTGTAACGTTCAGTCCCCTTCGAACATTACCTCGGATGTCGTCGACTTCACCCCGAACAACCACATTCTCATGGTGGTAGTGCCGAGCGACGTTCACTACACCCTTGCTAGCTGCCTCTTTGAGCAACTCGCCTTCTTCGTCACGCTCCGGGTATTGCCATGAGTCCTTGACCACGAATTTAGTTTGTGGGTCTTCTTCGCGATGAGCTTTCCAGCATGTCGTTGCCCGGCCGGCGATGCAGGGCGCGCGTTTCATCAGTTTGTCAATGACAAGTCGCTCTGCCTTGTCGTTTCGTGTGATCTTGATGACCCGTTTACCGCCTTCTGCAGTGATCGAAGGGTCGAAACCAAGCTCTTCCTCGTCCATCCAGAGGAACCCAAGGACCGTTGATACGAATTGCAGTCCGTCGTGGTTAATGTCGAACTGTTCGGATGCAATTCCCCCCAGCCGGTCAAATATCCATATCCTCATGAGCGACCCGCAAATGGTAAAGCCCAAGACGAAGCGACGCGTATCTTGAGCAGTGAGAACTTCCCTCGCGTACCTCCCCAAATCGAGCCATGCTTTGGAGGCGATGTCGGCGGATGGATTGCTCTTCAACTCTCCGGGGACAAGTATCTGTGACCAGCGACATCGAGAGTCGCTTCTTGCCTGAGGATCGTTCACGAACCCGATGTCCAGCTTGCGTTCTGCGGTAGAACCTTGGATCGGCTTGTTGGGTTGTGCCAGCGGTCTTCGATGGGCCAGAGTGGGCCTGAATGACTCTGCGAATGCCGCTAGCTTTTCGCTGATGTCTGCGAACCAGCTAAGCACGCCGTCTTGGTTTGCATCGTTCGGCCATCCGGTCCACCCTTCACAAAAGAGAGGGTTACTGCCTTCCTCACACTTCTGGAAGATTGCCCGCGACGCTGTATCAAGATCGACCACACCACCGAAGTATGCCTTGTGGAAACCAGGGAGCCCAACATACATAGTACCAAGCTCTTCCCTGAGCACAAGGTCTACGTACTTGCGATGCTCGGACGAGTTCGCGAAGCCGCTTGTGTTGCGGAGCCATGGGGTTTGTTGGAGCGAAGATGCTATCGATCGGGGCGGGGGAGTGGCTTCGATAACGGTGTTGTAGACGTGATCCCAGATGAGCGCATCGTCGAGGGTCTCGGCTAGGGATGCGCTGAAGAGGGGATTGATTCGGTCGAAATCGAAGTCGTCGGAGTTGACGGCAGAGCTGAGTTTTGACAAGTCGCTAAAGAGATTCTTCCCTCTCCCACCGGAGCGAAGCAGACGAGATGCCTGGCATCCTTGAAGCGCCAGGAGGAGATCGAGAGCCAAGTTTTGGAGTTCTGCAAGGTCAGCAGTGCAGAAGCAGGAGGGTGGATTAAGTTACCGTCGCCCTTCAGCTTGTCGAGCGAGTCCGGAGAAGGGGGAATGCCCTGGCTTGTACAGACGGACTTGAATGAAGCGCGAAACGCATCAAGCCCGGTCCTAATGGGGTTCTCCTCGATGATCTTTGGCCGAGGTTGATCTACCATGGCGGGGGCGTCAGGTGTGAAGGAAGGTTTAGAAGGGGCGACTCGGCACGTGTTGCATCACACGTATTGGAGAACTGTTAGCGCCCGTCTCAAGATCCTGGCTCTCAGATGAGGCACGTGACTTCGCGTACGCCTGTGCGGAATGACTCTGTCACGACTACGGTTATCTAGTCACAGCTTCGGATTAGTAAGACGAGCCCGAAATTGGGCCATTGATAGGGGCGCTACACCTTTAGCGCTACATTATCAGCCGCCGCTCATTGGCCCAACAAGCTGCAGGCCGGCCAATTATAAAAGATGATTTGCGTAGTCACGACCCAACAGCGGCGCCTTATTGGCCCCCACACTGGCCTCCCGGCCGGGTAAATCGTGCAAGCATTGCACACAACCAGCGACGGCCGATGTCTTGCCATTGCGTGTTTCGACACCCATCTCTTCTTCGAACTAGGGTGTCGACCGGGCGTGAACCAAGCGCCGAGTGCGCAGACCGCCGTCTCCGTCCAAGTACACCCCAGCCCCGAACAAGATCTGGTCCACCGCCAGCATGCTGGGGTGGAGCGGTCACAGCGCCCAGGACCCCGCCAACATTGTCGCGTCGAGACGCGTTGCAGCCTCGCCATGCTCGTGCGGTATTCCACCATCTCCGAGGGCACAGGCGATCACCATGCGCACGAGTCCAGGACGGCACCGAAGCGAGTGGCGTGTGCATGCGCTGCCTATCTACTACCGTTTCCGAGGCCTCATCTTTCACCGTTTTTCGCGGCGCCGATGTCGCTTGGGGAGGGCGTGACACCAAAGCCCCCCCTATGGTCAGATTCCTCAAATTTACCTCGACATGCTCGGCTACTCCAATACCTCGCGAAACCCGGGTTCGGGTTCATTCAAGGCCCCAGGTTAGACAAGCAACTGGAGTATCCCAGATTACGGTCCGATCGAAAAACTCGGACGGCCGTTTCCGTCGAGCAACCTCGGCCAAGGCCTAATCGAGGCCTCCGGGGAAACCTCAGCTTCGAGCACCCCGTACCAGGGTCTCGTCGATCTTCTCGGATAAACCTTACTTTCGAGCACCCTTTACTAGGTTCTTGTCGAGATCATCGAATAAGCCTTACCCTCTGGTCAGGCATACATCGCGTCCATAGGCATGGACAATAGGGACAGGAACTTGGGTTTCCAACTTGAGATATCTGTTCTTGGATGAGTACTAATTGGAGGTTGGAAGTAAGCCCGACTGACCGCATTGTTGCTACTTCACTCTCAAGTTTGATCCATGCATCATCGAAAGCCGGCTCTATTGGAATTCGAACGATCCATTTCGCACGATCCTCGTAGAACTCGATGAATACGCAAACGTTGAAGCTGCCACTTGCTTTGCCGACTACCCGGCAAGATTTACCGTTGTTATAGCGGGATGCCAGCGCGCAGAGGGCATTGTCATCGAGAGATTTGATGAAACTTTTCCTTGATTGTTTGTACTGGTCGTCAGTCAGGAGAGGGAATTCGCGAAGGATGAGGCTGGCTTCGGCTTCAACGTCGGGTGCGTTGTCTACAGGAAGATCATTAATCCTGCCGACAAAAATCAAACGGAAGACGCGTAAAAACGTATTGGAGAAAGAAACGAAGAGGGATGCAGAACACGAGCGCATCAGCCTGATGATATCGGCGAGCATCTTGGGAGCTTGACCCTCTTGATGAGTTCACCTGTTGATGGAAAAATGTGGGGGAGGGGGGTGGTGCAGCGAACATCTGTCAGTTCATTTATTGTTGTCAACCACGACGATGGAGGTTTTGCTTACATCAGCGGTCTCGTCCCGCTTTAGATGAATCTGATCCTGGATGAGCTATGTGGAACGTGCACTTACTGGGGTTTACCACCTGAACATTCAAGGTGAGAGAATTACCTAAGCAATCATCTGCCTATAGTCATCATCCCCTGATTGCATCCATCAGGCATCTGTGTTATGCATCTAAACATATCTAAGGATACTATTTCGATGGACACGACAGCCGATCGATCGAGGGTGAGCTGGTTGGACCGCGATAAGTCCCACTTCATGTGGGTCTCACTGCAGCCAGGGCATGAGATGATGCATATGGTGCTGGATGAAGAAGGGAGGAATGGTGTCGCACAATGACAACTCCGACCATGCAAGCCGAGGAGTCAAACCATCGGGATTCGAACAACTGAAGACACAATCGGCGATTTTTCAAGCACGACAAAGACGACCAGTGCGCGCAATTCTCTAGTGGCTATAGAGGGAAGTTTGTCAGGGCTAAAAACAGGGAGCATTAAGACAACAACCGAGAACTCGATAAAGGCGCTCTCGCGACCAGGATTGCACTACGGACGGTCATGGAATCCGAGCAACCCCCCGCCCGCGTCAGCAAAGTCTAGTTGTCCTTTCGAGCTTGGAAACGACGCTGCAAGCATTGGACGGAGTCAAACTGGAGATGCGGAGGAGCCACCTGCACCACCGTTGCTTCCTCGACAGACCTTCACGCGCCAGTCTGCTGGAAGCCCGCAACGCTTCTTATCGCCTTTTTCATCGCCGTCTTCATGCATCAGATAATGTCAGTCAAATCGTATGCGTAGTTACTATAATGCTTATAATGCTCTCACAGGGGGTGCTGTAGAAGCATGTGGCAGTCTTTGATCGATGAATTGAGATATCCTTAATTGATGAGTGAAGACAGATGACGCCAGTGTCGCTACTGCCGATGTCGCAACCCCCGCAGATGCAGCATGTAGTGAGTGCACTTCTGCCTCAAGCATCACGCGTAACCCGATGCCCACTCCAGAAAATCGGTCAAGTCGTGCCCAATATTGTACCCCATGGGGATGATTTCCTCGATACCAGCTTCACCTATGAAGGAGAGATCCATCATAGGGCTCTGTGGTGGGCTCCACATCCCATCTCTCCCATCTCCGCTCAATCCTGCAGTCCGCTGTGGGCATCTTGCTGAGATCGCCATGTGTGAACAGTCGTTTTGGTTCCGCGACGGTGTCGAAGACCACTGATTTGCTGCTCCGTCTCCATGATCATGTGTGCAGGCACCCATAAGCAGACCTCGGAAGTCTGTGTCTGAGTCTGCGGTGATTGCAGAGTTGGAGCTGGCAGCATCAGACCTTTGGTGCGAGTGCGTCGTACCCAGCCGCCCGGGCGGGACGGAACGTCTGGCTCGCACGAGCCTGCCCTCTGACTTGAAGCCGAAATCGTCGAACCAGGTCGTGATGTCTTCGAGCTCATCATCATCAGAGCCGTGCATGGGGTCCAGGCTGTCTGAGTAGAAGTCGCCCGCCCCGCCAAGGATAGCAACCTGAAAGGCCGTCCAGTCCAAGGTCTTATCGGGCATGACATCTGCATAGAGAACGAAACCAGGCTTGGGGATGCGAATGCGGCCGTGGCAGAACGTCGGCATATTCAGGCTGTAGGGCGTCGATCGAAGATGGAGAGCGTCGCCATCGTCGGAGGGTGCAAACCTGTGGGTAGGCCAAGTCGGCTCCGTAACTAGAGGGCGTGAAGGTGGGGATGGTGCTGATGGTGATGGCGTTGCTGGTGATGGTGTTGCTGGTGATGGTGTTGCTGGTGATGGTGTTGCTGGTGATGGTGTTGCTGGTGATGATGTTGCTGGTAATGGTGTTGCTGGTGATGGTGTTGACGGTGATGAACGATATGCTGCTTGTTCCTTTGAAACAGCTCCCTGCCGCACGGACTGGTCCTGGATGAGGATAGGTGTTGGCGACGGCAATTGGTCTCTCTTCCGTACTGACTCCACATGACCTCCACTGTTGGCACTCGCAGCCGTCTTCGACAACTCGTCCGTCTTCGACAACTCGTCTCGTGAGGACACCCCACGACACCAATAACCGTCGGCTCGCTCGATGGGACGACGAGCTGGTATGATCTCATCAGCCTCAATCTTTCGCAGCAGGTGCCATCGAACAATGTTCGCCACGTCATGGAGCGTTCGGTTTGAGACAAGATTTCGTTTTCCTGCTCTCTTTTCAATTGAAGTAGTGGACCAGCCAGCAAAGCCGGAAATGCCTGATGCTGGCAGCGCTCGAGATGAGGCCATGGGTCAGAAGGGCAGCTTGATAGGGATTGATAGATACCGAAGCAGGGCCGATAGGCTGTAGGCAAAGAATAATGTAGAGACAGTTCGGTGCTTCAGAGTGGCAATCAGCGGCCAGCCTAGCAGCAAACCTGTTGGTGGCTGCATGGTTTTATTGCCATTGCATGAGCAGCAGCAAGAAGCCTACGATGGGCGCACCCAAACCTTCATGGACTGAAGTCGTGGTCATGTCATGGTGCACAGTTATTTTTATCATTTCCCAATGAGGCAAATGGGCAGTGCAGAGTGGGTCAAATCACTGCACCACCAACTGTTGGAGCTGGGGCATGCTGCAGGCTGCACAACAGCAACATTTCCATTTATGGCCCGAATCTTGGACCTAGAGGAGTACCCAAAATGGGGTGTCGATGTTTACTCTTGTCCGCCCAAATAGGTTCAGGACCTGACGCTGTGCCAGCATGCTGTAGGTATGTACATACTGTACACCCGCACCGATAAGAAATCTTGCTTCTTGGCCTTTCGTCATTGTGGCCCAGTGAGGTCAATGTGGCCTTTCTTTGGGATCCGTCTTTGCGCCCCCAGATTTGTGGATCAGTTGGTCACGACGTATCTCATACTCCTCCCAGCGTTGATGTGGGTTCATGTCTTGCAGTCGGCTGAACCCTTCCCATGTCAAGCATGGGTCGTTCTGGCGAGCTATGAGGAATTGCTGCCTCTTGACCCAGTGTCTAGAAAGGGAAGCGATCAGAATGCCTATGAAGAAAGCCCCGGCTATGGCGGGGGTGAGGACGGCAGGCAGGCGTTGTGGTCGCTGAGATACCTCGCCGACCTGGCCACAGGCTGCGGAAAGGGTAGGCGCCATTCCGATAGGACTTTGGCGTACATGTACTGTACGTATGATTCTATGGCTAAGCTGTCGAGCAGCACGTACAGTTCATGTACAGGGTACGGTTCATGTACAATACTGTACAAGATGCACAGAACACTGCAGTCTTGATTTCATTCGGTCGGCCGAGGCGATGGTGCAGACACCTTTCTGTATATGTGTATGGAAAATGGCCGCCAACGTGGTCTCGGCTGAGACCGCTGCTTATTGTCACTGGCCATGGCAAACACGAGGCCATCACTAGGGCCCAACATCTGTCCTCTTCCCTTCCCATATACATACGCAGAGCGCCCACCCAAAACAGCACTCGCTCGAACATTCGAGGTAGCCTTCATCATTTCCAGCGTTAAGCAATAATCCCGCGCCCAGCAATAATCCCGTGCCCAGCAAAAATGCGGTCGATCATAGTCAGTGTGGTCGCTCTCACCACAGGGCTGTCATGGACGCAGGCACAACGCGACTGTAACAGCATCATCTCCTCCAAAGCAATTGATCCCGATCGGAGCAGTCGAACGCCTCCTCTTCTTCCCACGTCTGTACTGAGGTGTGACTGTCCTGATGAGCAGGTGGAAGGCTCGCTCGCTCCATCAGCGGCCACCACTGTGCTCTCCGAACGCAGCACTTTCCCTGAGACCACAACATCCTCTTCGGTGATGCCTCTGTTGTCTTCTTCACTCATAGCTCACACGACCGTGGTCTCACCACGACCTCCCACCCGTTCCGCCCCACCCGATGGGTCTGTGCGTGTTGAATTCACGCTTGACGACACGCGACATCAACAAGATGTCGAAGTCAAGGCTTCCAGTGCCAAGCCGAAAAAGGTCAACTTCATGGCATCCAATGGCCGAGTCGTCAACAACAATGGTCTGGGCCGCGTCCAGTGCAATGTGGAGATCAACTATGGCAACTACACGTATGAAGCAGTACCCGCCTTCACCGTACGTTTCCCTGTATCCTTCGATAGGCCCCAGCATGTCACAGGCGTCAAGTGCTACAAGGTGTGATGTGGAGTGTCGGTGGGAGAGAGGAGGGGGCGGAATCAGTCTATTGTTGCTATCATTCTGCGGTTGCTTCACCTTCCATGGGACCTTCTTTGACGAGGACGATCATCAGAGCTTTGAGAGGGTGGAAGAAGAGATCTTGTGAATTATCTGCCTTGAGGTCTTGAAATGCAACTCGATGTTCTTTAATGTCTCCTTGTACTGTAGTGATGTCTCTTGGATGATGCTTCTTGGGTGATATCTCTCCGGTGATGCTTCTTGGGTGATATCTCTCCGGTGATGTCTCTTGCGGTGATGCCTTTTGCGTTGATGTCTCATCCTAGGAACGCCATGGTTGTGACAGCCCCAAGTCCCTGATTCTGGCTTCATCCCATCTCCAGTTACAACCCGGAACACGACCAACCCACGCCCGGGCCCGTAAGAGTCAAGAGATAGATATTATTCGCGTAATTGCCTGGATCAAACAGTGCATCCTAGTGACCAAAAGCTGTGATGAACACTACTTCTTGGTTTCGGAGTACACGTGCAGGTCTGGGTCAACGTACTTTACGCACCATTTGTGTCTTTTCAGCAAAGCCGCATCTCGGCTACGAAGCTGCTCCGCCATCACCAGACAGTCCTTCACGGTCAGCCTCTCCCGTTCGCCATCGTCCCAGACATCCAGAAGCACATATACCAGCTCAAGGTTGTCAAAGAACCTTAGGATGTCGTCGGCTATGTTATCTTCCTCCCAAAACCCGTTCTGGTCAACAACGATTGTCCGTATATTCTTGAGCTGTGACCCGTACAGCTTCTGCAAGTCTGACAAGTATGATTCATCGACGTCGACTGTGAGGCAGAGCAGGTCGCTATGAGGGTTGAAGTAGAATGTGGCAGAAGGGATCATTGGGTGTTGAAGACGAACATGGCGGCGCAGAGTGTGTATTCTTGATTCTTGGTTGATGCGAAGAGCGATAGGATCGAGACACGCCTCCAGTGGATCTTCGTCCACAATCCGGGTCCCAAAGTCTTCCGAAAGCCATCGTGGTAGGCGACAGGTAGGGCGTAGGCACAAAGTATCATAAAACACACCGTCTCTGCCCAAGCCACTCTCGTCGGGAACGTGCTCTGGATGCATTGAAAGATCGCCCACCTCGACGCACTGAGGACCTGGCCAGGTGTATTCCCAGACCTTCAGTCGAAGTTCTGGGGGTAGACGCTGGAATGGTTGGAAGGCGGCCATGCCGGGGGTGTTCTCGGGAAGGATATCGTTTACTTGGGACGCGGAGGGTACAAATCGAGCGTTCTAGGATCAAGCAAGCAAAACATAAAGAGTGAAGTGAAGAACGTGGAAAAGAGATTCGCTGCGTTGAGATTAATGGTCAGACATATCCGCGGCGATGCCCGGTCTGTCGTGATGCCTTCTAACCGCCAGCCAACAACTGGCTGGGTGATTCGGTCAACACGCCAATCAGAGAGCTCAACGCCAAACTCCACCAACCGACGACGCAGACTGATTGGCTTAATGAAGGGATAGTGGCCTTCGGAAGCAGGGCACAGCGCCAACAAGCAGTCACAATTCCGCATAACAATAGAGAGCAGCGGGCTGCCGCACTTTGCTATGCAGTCTTCTTCATTTGCCCTCTTTGCCTGCTCGACTCTAAATCATCAAGATACACAAGACACGCAGAGATGCCCGCCCCCGCCAGCTCCGCCACGCTTTATTCTCACATTGACAGAGCCTACCGCGATTTTGTTAATGTCGCAGCTTTGGTAGCCAGGCAAAGCGCCGCAGAAGATGCTACTGCCGCCACGACGATACGCGTTCTCCAACAGATGATCGAGCAAAAGCAGAAGGAGCGGGAGAGGTTGAAAAGAGACGCCCAGCGAATTCAAAATGAGCAAGAAGCTGGCAGGCAAGAGATTACGAACCTGGATGCGGGGGTTGAGAACGAACGTTCGCTTGGGAGTCGAGGCTAGGACGAAGATAGAGATAAATCATACGGTAAAATCTCATGATCGCTACAGTACAGTCTTGACGCTCGGCACTCGGCCAAACTTGGCTGCCACTCGGCACCTGCCGTCGACACAAGCAGCTGCACGGCCTCCGAGACTACAAACCCCACCCCTGGAGCGGTCTTAGCCCGCCAGGCAGCACATCGAGAGCGCCTGACACAGCTTCATGAACAAGGGGATTTTCTGCGGCCTTACAGTCTTCAAGAGTGCTTGGAGTAACGCCGGGGCAGGTGTGAATGCCGTTGAACCCCGCGTCGCAGCCATCGATCACGCCCTGCAACACATTCTCATCCCACGCCGCCAGAAAGTCTGCGTGTGAGCTGTACCCCGTCACGTCACCATTGGACAGGACAAATGGCTGGGACCCCTGACTGGGGCACCATCGGTCCTTGAATACAGGCGTGTTCCAGTAGACCTCGATGAGCATGTGGGGGAGGTGGATCCACCCTTCGGGACACCTGTATTTCGTGCCTTGGATGCTGGGGAACGCCATGTTCGATCGGTACTCGTCCAGTCCTTTGCTCGGGTCGTAACAGTACGGCATGTGAATGTCCGCTCGCAAGGGGGATGCAAAGCCGTCACAGTCCACGTCCGGGAAGCCGGTGCCGGCCTCGGCATTCATCGGGTCGACTTCTCCAGCTGCAGTGCCGTCTGAGTCGGGAGGCCACGACGGGGGCTCGAAAGTGCTCTGCCAGCGGGGGCAGGTCCACTGCACCGGCTGGATCTCCCCATCGTCAGGGTTTAAGTTGAGCTTCCCATGCGTGCCTGGTGACGTCCGGGTCGCCGCGTTGCCGCTCACTATTTGCAGGCCCTGCGGGAAAGCAGTGATTCTATCGTCTGTCGGTTCGAAACTGCCACGCCATGCGTCAATCCAGGCCTCAGGCGGCGGGGTGATAACCAAGCGGAAACAAGCATGGCAACTTACAAATAATACACATTGACGTACGCAATGTCGACTGGTTCAAATGTGCCGGTCACAGGATCATGGAAGTAGAGCCAAGGAAACCAGTAGGCGCTTTTGTCGTCAGCGGCTTTTGCGTTTGTGCACATCGACAGAGCCATGCTATCGCCAGTGGCATCGGGCGCAAAATTACGGCCGCCCATGACGCCGTGTACGTGTTCAGACACGCGCCCAGGGGAGACAATAGGGTCAATGCGCCCGCGGACAATCTCTTTGCCATTAAACTGCAGGAGTGCGAAGGTTCTCGTCTCGTGTACGGCAAGAACACGGCGCAAGAGGCCCGCTGTAAGGATGATGGCTCGGAACCTCATGGCGCGAAGACACTATCAATGTAACGGTGAATACGTGCCGTGGTGCCGACGTGCTTCAATCGCTTAATTGCTTCAATCGCTTCAATCGCTGTCGAGTACACCAGGCCTTCGACTGACGCATGCTCTTATCTACCGTGAGCGACCCCAAACTGGGCATAAAGGCCAGTGTTACTCCACCTTTTAGGGACACGTTAGGGACCCTGTGATGCCTGCCTCGCAAGTCCCCAGACTGGGCCCTGGCCAGAGTGCGACAGCGCTGCACCTGGCTTGTGTGGACCTAATAGTACATTAGGGCGGCCATGGCACGTTACCGGGTCCACGTCAGGCAAGGCCTCTCATAATGAATCGGAACCAAGCTCAGGTGCGACCGTCATAAAGCAGTGTGGATGGCTCTGACATGTGTAGATCACCCAGGAGAATGCCATGGTCGGAAGAGACGTCCATCCATTACAGTCCAACCAGCCAGACGAAGTCAATTATGACGAAACGAGAAAGAAACTGTGTGAAATATCCTACATGATCCTCGACGTGTATAATGCAGTGGGCGAGTACGCGCGACCGCCTTGCAAGTGCGAGGACTATCAGCAGGAACTGCAGCTCCTACGGCAGAAGCTTCATGGAACTTTGGAGGCCAATAGAATTCTTAGTACGGACAACGAGAAACTACGTTTGAGGGTGGAGCATCATCGACGACCTCCAAGGCGCGCCCACGGCGCCGGGGGACGAGGAAATGATGACCTTTACGCGAGGATGAAAGAGATCGAAGCAAGTTTTCAACAGATCATTCAAGATCGGACGAGACCGCTTCCGTCACCACCACCGCCACCACCGCCTCCGCCGCCCCCGCCGCCACCTCCGCCTAAAGTACACCACGTTGCGAAACACGTGAAGAGCAACTTGCAAGAGAAGCTGGAAGGCAAGCCAAGTTTTCGGGATCGGGTTAGAGCAGTTCTTTTCGAGCCCGGAGACTCATGACCAGCGCGGAATATAGTCCATAGATTCCAAATACATTGCAGTCCACCTATCTTCCATACTCTGCAAACTGTGAGCCGAGAGCTTTGACATGAGAAACTAGATGCAGACGGAAAAGCTGTCTCCAACATAGGACCTTCAACTCGTACCACATATCACACAGCACGCCGCACCGCATCTCACACTGCCGCGCGCCGCTTCCTCGGGCTGGTGTCGGCACAAGCGCTCTTCCGTTTGCGGCAGGCCCTCCTCCCAAATACGGCATCCAGACCCTGCAGAGTCACCAGCTGATCGATGGCGAATGGTGATCGACTGATGTGGCAGGGTTCTGCTGATCCTTCTCGCAGGGCTATTTCAAGCCTGCCATGGCTGTCGACTTTGATTAACTTTCGAAAATTCCCTCCTCTATCAAAGCATGTCAAGTCATTGACGCCGCACAACGGGCTTCCGTCCACCACGATCTGTACTGAGTTGGTAGACAGTTGGAGGAAAAGATCTTGAAATCCCAACTCGCTCTTCCGAATAGTGCAAAGCATTGTTCCAGTGCCTACAAGTCGCCCACCGCAACGTTCTGGCAGGGCATCAAGCTCAAAGTAGAACAGGGACGCCAGCATACAACGACGCAAGTAGGCTATTGGCTCCGTCAGCAATGGGTCGTTTCGTGCCCTTTCCCCCATCTCTGCCATGCATGGTGCATTGTCCAACATTGGCTCGTCTCCATCAAAGTAGACGTTCAACCGATGGTGGCGTGATTTCTTCCCTAGCATTTGTTTTACTTTCTTGTCCCCCATCTTCTCCCAAAACAGTCTGCCGAGTCGTGGGACGGCCCCGTTACCAAGCACCCCGCGCAAATCCTCCGTTGCCGCCGCGTTGCTCGGCTGGCTCTCGCCTGTGCCTATGGAGACGACAAAGTCAGGCTCTACCAGGAGAGGGAACAGAGCAGTCACCTCGCACAGGGCGGAGAGGGTTGGATCAACAAGGGGGCCTGCATCCTGAAAAGAGCCGACATCGTAGATATGCTTTGGGGGAAAGAAGCTATGGCAGTCAGATCGGTGGAAAAGCTCAGGAATCTACGTTGGCTTGCCGACATACCCAGGCGCAGCAGACGCGGCTCGTCCCCTGGTGATTGTGTTAGTTGCAGTACAATTTGATGCCCCGGGACGCACGACTTACACTTCCCACAAGGGCACGTTTCCGAGACCTTCCTTCGGTCGAACTACGTAATCTGGTATCTGTCAGCGGAGAGAATCCCGCGTCTTGGGGCGTTTACCTTGATTGCGAGGTCTCTTGCCCACGCCATTGTAGTTGGTGAAGATCCTCTCTAGCGGCTTCTTGTCAATCGTGGCAACGGGCAGGCCTACGTGTGTACCAGTGGCGCTCGAATGAGACACGTCCAACAAACCCCTGGTATGATATGTCACTCGAAGCGCCTCTTCTATGTTCGTGGGGGAATAGAGCCCATCCGCAAAAAGACATAGCAGAATGTTGATGAGCTGTGCAAGTTGAGGGAAGGGAAAAAAGTAGCGGAGGCCATGGTCAATCCATCGCCTCAGGAGCGAGGGCAGGAAAGGAATCCTGACGCCTCGGCGACGATGAAAGACCTGTTTTGCTAAGATGCCGAACCGCTGGATGGCTTGGTCTATCGATGACCCGTTGAGACATAGCTCGGCCGTGATGAGGCCGCCTAGACCGTGTTAGTCAGGTACCGACGCGTCTGACGGAAGCATTCACCAGAACTGATGCCGAAAAAGATTTTGATGAACCGAGTCAACGGGATTGGAAGCTTGATAGCCTCGTGGATGCGCTTCAAGATCTCTAGCGACACGATCCCTCGGACCCCGCCACCGTCGAGGCAAAACACTCCCACGCCGGCTGTTGGTGGATGCCTTCGGATGACAGCCTCCTCACTCAGCAGGGTGTCGCAGAGATGACATTGACCATACAGCGTGACCCATGGGTCCTCATCAGATGGCCTGCCGTAGTCCCATACGCAAGCCTCACAATGAACGTGTCCGCAGGAGAGGCCGTACTGAGGCACGTGTGACAGGCAGGAGAGGCAGAGGCGAGTGCTATGGATCCGGAGCCAGTGGGATTTGAATCTCCGGAGCAAGCGTAGGTGGATGTCCGAAGCGGAACCGGAATGTCGAGCGAGTTCGCTGAAGCATCCTACGAAGTGAGCTTTGACGAGTTGGATGAGCCCATCGCTCGGCATGCATGTGCTGCCATCCCTACCGAGAGGCATGGACTCGTTGGAAAACGCCCTGTTGAGCATGTCACTGTAGAGCCCCTCAAAGACGTCGACAGGATCAAAGACTACATCAGAATCAGCTGCAATACTTCGTGGCCTCATTCCCACGGAGCCACGTACGATGTGCGCCCGGCGGGTAGGCGTCTAGAAACAGGCTCGATCCGATGACGGGCATCGCAAAAGTAACGAGCTCCGTCTGCGGCGTGCCCCGGCCGACAAACTCTGTGACATGGCTTTCAAGGTTTTCTGGAACTGGGTTGCGGCGTCTCGACTCTTGGACAAGGTCGAAAGGTAAATCGGAAGCACTTGCAAAGTGGTCGCAAGCACCGTCCAGCAATGCAGCGACATGCGTGGCCGAGAACAAACATCGTGCATCCACTCTGCTCTGCCGCACGTCATCCGAGATTCTCATGATGCGCTCCTTCAACGCCCTGTAGCGGGCGGTAGCAGACACACTGGTGTGGGGCAGGACAGTAACGAAACTGATGTAGGCGGACAAGTTCGATGTCTCTCTTCTCGTCTCCTTCTCCAACATCGCCAACAGGTCTGTCTTTGCCTTGGCTTCACCTTGGACACCATGAAGGACGGTGGAGCTTACGACTACGATCTTTGGGTGCGCGTTTGCAGGGTTCTGGGCTTGGGGGCCATGGTCCAGCCATGTCGCCAGGTGGCGAGCAACGCCCTCCAGACCGCCGTCGAGGTCATCACAGAAAAAGCAGAAAACGTCGGCAAAGGGGGCCAGGAGACGACAGTACAGCTCACCAGTAACGCGACGCTCCATACCTGACTGGGCCGTCCAAATGATGGCCTGTCTTCTGGCGTCCTGTGGACAGGTTGTGGGCACTACCCTGGCATGACTATTGTATAGATGGCCTTCGGCTAGCAATACAGGCCTCTCATGAAAGCTGGTCTGTGGAGCTAGATGCAAGTGGATCTCATTCGATCCTGGCGACCCAGTCGCGGGCTGCGCGATCCTCACACCGAACATGGCATGGAGCGCAATCGACTTGGCTCTGCCGCCAACCAGCACAACCAGGCTCGGCCGTTGCGTGTCTGGTCGCGGCAGATGGCTTGTGACGAGACGAAGCCGATTCGAGACTATGAGATCGTAGTTGTTCTCACAGCCACTGAGCCCCAGCCACATTGTAGGACTGCGGGGCTTCATTCTGAGATGCTCCAGTGTTGCACCGTATGTAATGATGGAGTGCTTGTGGCCATGTAGCAATCCAACTGATGCAGGGCCAGAGATATATGTAGATTGTCGCCCTGGATATGGGTCGGCGTCCTGGGTCCCTGTTGAGACCTTCAATGGGGAAATGCCAGGGCCGGATTTGGGTCATTTCCCCACCACTACAAAAACGTTTGCCGTCCCGCGCCAGGTAGCATACCCCCCAGCACGGTCCGATGGCCGATCGTGTACCAGAGCACAACTCAAGCACAACACACGCAACTGAAGCATGAAGACTAACCGGGTTGTGGGGACGGAGTGCTCCCTGTGCTGCAAGCGTAGGTCGTTCAGAAAGAGAAATTTGGGCGCAGAGGACACCCTGGACCGATTCATATGCTCTCGACCATGTTGCGATGCTGTCAAGAGCCTCATCAGGGGAGCCCTGCATCCACTGCGACGCCTCCTGCCAATCCGCGACTCCATCAGCCGTGAATCCATCAAGATAATGAGCACCAAAAGGGCACGTAGCCCCAAAGTCACGGATTCACGGCTGGAGCTCCCAGGCGAAGCGACTTCCGCACAAGAAAAGCAGTGCCGTGCCTGTATTGACGCCGAGGTGAAGGCCATTCATCATCGATACGAGATGCCAGATACAGGCAAGGCAGAACTAGAAGACACCTCCCAGGCATGTCAAACGAAGGCCCAGACCTACCGGCCTTACAGGCGTCCAAGCTCACCGGGGCCTCCGGCCGTCAATCTCTGGACGAAGCCGTCTCTGATACCGCACTGGTAGAAAGGAGGATCGGTCACTGATGATGCTGCACTGATTTAGTAGTAATGTACTGTACACATACCTCTTTCAGGAAGTCTGTATTTGGATGTATGGTCAACACACACTGCAGTAGCGTCACGACGTGTGTGCGAATGCGAAGAGAGTAGAGTTGTATGGGTTGATTCGACCTCCTGACGCAGTGTCTGCATTGCTTGTTCCACGGTGTATGTAGTGAATCTACCAAAATACCAATAATACAATTCCGTATAGGTAATTCCAGTGTCCACGGCGCGACTGTCATTGTCAGGAGGCACCAGGGAGGCCAAGAGTGAGGTCTTTTTTGAAAAGACTCATGGCCATCCGCAGAGTGGACCTGATCGAAATGCAAGTTCGGGTCCAAGACTTGGGAATTTGAATGAAGCAGTGCCATATTATACATAGTATAGTACTTTTGTCTGGGCAACATCGCACCGGGTACGCAGTGTCGATTTGAAGAGCAACACCACCAGCAACACCACCCAGCGATCACCTTGCCAGTTCTTCGTCCTAGCATGCAAGATGAAGGCTTCTTCGACACTCACCATTCTTTGTGCGATAATCAAACTGACTAGTTGCTACCAGAACGCAGTCTACTTTCCCAATTGGTTTGTCAGATGCGTTACCGGCTGGTGCACCGCCTCGTGTGTTGATGACCATCAGGGCAATATACGGGCGAGACTACCACCCCCAGAACCTCCCTGCAAGCAGACTCTCACATGTTCTGTACGCCTTCTTGGATGTACGGCCATCAGGAGAGGTGTAGGTCGCCAGCCCACATTGCAGAAAAAACAATCATGTTAATAAAGCTTTAGCCATTCCATCGATTCCTATGCCGACCTGGAGAAGCATTATCCAGGAGACTGTGCGTCACCCTATGTCATCATGGCATGGTGCTAATCGCTGAGTAGCCTGGATCGAAAGCGGGAGGAACGCGTACGGGTGTGTCAAGCAGCTCTTCCTTCTGAAGAAGTCCAACCGCTACCTGAAAACCATGCTAAGCATCGGCGGGTGGACCTTGTCAGCCAACTTCCCCGTCGTGGCAAGCACGCCCACCGGCCGACTGGCATTCGCCCAATCCTCCGTATCTCTGATGAAGGACTGGGGGTTCGATGGCATTGATATAGACTGGGAGTATCCGGCGGACAAAAAGGAGGCAGAGAACTTTATTCTTCTACTGGCAGCAGTGCGGCAAGAGCTCAATGCGTATGCGTCACAGTACGCCCCAGGCCATCACTTCCTCTTGACGATTGCATCGCCTGCTGGACCTACGCACTATGAGAAGCTCGACCTCAAGACGATCGCCGGTATTGTAGACACGTTCTATCTGATGGGGTACGATTATTCTGGCTCATGGAACTCCTACGCCGCCCATCAGGCCAACCTCTACCCAAATAGCATGAACAAAACGACAACGCCTTTCTCTACAGACGAAGCCATCACAGGTTACCTCAAGGCAGGCGTGCCCGCTTCTCAGATAGCTCTTGGCATGCCCACGTACGGTCGAGCCTTCCAGAACACTAATGGACTAGGCAGGCCGTTCTCTGGGATAGGCGGGGGCTCGTGGGAAAACGGCGTGTGGGACTATAAGGCTCTTCCTCGGCCTGGGGCTACTGCCGGGTACGACGACGTGGCCATGGCGTCATTCAGTTACGACGTTGAGAGAAGAGAGCTCATCTCATACGATACGCCGCGCTCCGTTCGGCAAAAGATCTCCTACCTGAAAGAGAAAGGACTCGCGGGATCCATGTTCTGGGAAGCGAGCGGCGATAGGGCGGATGAAAACAGTTTGATCTCTATGAGTTCTGAACTCTTGGGCCCATTCACGGGTCAGGCTCAGAATCAACTTGACTACCCCAACAGCCAATACGAGAATATCAGAGCAGGAATGGAGTGAGGTTTCGAGAAGCCCGCGGGATGCCATCGTTCGCAGCATGACTAGTCTCGGCAAAAGGACATGTACAGGGACTTAGGAGCCGTACGAAGACCTGGATCGGGACTTCAATTCCAGTATTAGATAATACAAAGGCTTCAGCACTGTTGTTCGCGCCCTGCACCTCCACCACCACCATAGTACTGGACCACCACCCTCTTTTGACATTGAAGCCTCTCACAATGGTCCACGCTTCTTGGATATTCTGCTTCATCGTGGTCTCTGCCCTTGGTGCAGTCCGTGGGGAATCGAGAGTCTACATGTCGGGTATGCAAAACTCTACCAACTCCACCCGGTACGCGCCGCAGGCAGTCGTCAACGTTGCCGTGAATCCAATGAGCACAGCGATTTCCTATCCATCAGGGTGGTCCAGTCGTTCTTCTGGTACACTCGAAACCTCTTGTAGTTGTGTGTTCTCGCCAGAGTCTTCGAGTGTCTCGCTCGCGGTTCAGCAGCCATCGAAGCATAGTGTTGTCACACTACCTGTTCCTGTATCAATGCCACCTACTGGTCAACAAACTCTCACGAAAAGGCCGCTGTTCGCCAACTCGACGCGAGGGCAGGGTGTTGTCATGGAGACCGGCCACATTCCTGAACCGACCTCAGAGGTCGTCATAAGCGAGGCCACATATGCAAGACCTCTATGGTATAGTCTCATGTTCGCGTTGCTGCTGTCGATCTGAGACGATTGTAAGCTGTGGCTGCCCTATATGTAGTTCTCGTGTCTCTCGGTGTTCTCGGCATCGGCGCCTTGTGCTTGACTCGTCGCCAGGTATAACCCGTAACACGCCTCACAGGAATTCGAGCTGTCAATGTATATAGATAGACACTTGCTTCATACTTAACAATGCTAGGAAGGCTCCCTCAGGTGTAAGTACAAGAAGCTAGTGCAATCTAAGCTTAGTAAAAATCAAAGTCACGAGTGTCTTACGGCCACGATGGGAGTAGTGCCATGACTTGTCATCACAATCACCTTCAACCATCTTTACTGCCAAAGCGAGCGTTGGGCCGTCCGACGCTGTCATTACTGGGTCCGAAGACGGCTTTGGACCCAAGTTGAATGCTACACCGTGATTCATTTCACCTCTTCACCTACAAGAACGACCAGTAAGCGCTGCGAGTTGTGGCCACCCCGCCCAAGTCCCTATGTCCGCTTGCCGGTCATGGTAGCTACACAAAGCATGCCACCTCTTAATTACTGGGGGATTACCGGGGCAAGATCTTAATCTAGCTCTATTAACGGCCCTGATTTCTCTCTAGATTTATTCTCCCCAACCATCTGGTCCACCTTCTACTGCTGTCTTACAATGATGTATAGTGTTATACCGGTTGTCCCCTCTCTCGGCGATATCTTGAAGAAGCTGCTCAGCCATGTGGGCCCCAGGCTGCCGACGAAATGCTGGGGTCCCATGCTAGGTCCAATTGCTGCGTGGCCGTAAACGACTGTCGCAAAACCTTGAGCAAACTTGGTGCCAGCGAGACAGACGGCAACATGGGAAGTCGAGCCTGATATGTCAATCCGAAAATCATAGACGTAGGTGGTTGTCAATACGTCTGGTACCCAACTGTTGATTGGTTTTGTTATGACGCCTTGCCCTGCTGGAAGGACGCCGAAAGGTTCACCTAGGGTCTCATAACCGGAAGGTTTGCCCAGAGTTTCACCGTCTTGAAATGGCATGTTGATGAAGGCAAGTGGATACCTCCCAGTCTTACAAGCTGAGAGGCAGCATCAGGATGACACGGGAACCTACCGGGTCAAGCTTGTGCAATAAGAAGAGAGATTTTTTATTTTAGTCCAGGTCTATGACATCGAGCCGGCAGGCGGTCCGAGACCATTAGTTCGCCGAAAGAAGGCACTCCATGACGTGTCTAACGTGTGCAGACTCTATTCACGTCGAAAGAGGCCCGAGGACGCTGCATTCGTTCCACAACCAGGCTATCTGTGGTAAGAAAGACTGCACGTCGCATCTGGTACGCTCGTATTTCGCGAAGAAAACAAAATCATGGTTCAAATAAATGTTGTGCGGCGCGCGTTGCAAGCCACAGGGTGGAGAGGGGTCAAGCTCCAGATTAGAGGCCAGAAAACGAGCTATAGGTAGCAGAAAAACCCATTCTGGGCTGTGACTATTTTTTATTTTCATCTTAAACGACATATAAGAGAGACATTCGAAGTAAATCGTACAAACTTCGATTCAGCTTTCCTGGCCGCTGCCGCCGAGTCCGAGCCCATCCTCTGGAGCCAGATTTAGACGTGAGCAGTTCATACCCTAGACTTCTCCCACACGCTCATATATGACTGCCTCTTCCTCGCGAATACGATCCATGGCCAGGCTGATTTCACTCCTCCAGTCCGTTGTGAGGACATACAGGAGTTCTGCTGATGCCACCAAGGACATGCCAATACATTGGCCGATCGATAACCCCGAAAGCCCAAAGCCTTCGAAAGCCATCCATGAACCAAGCGGAAGTGCAATTACATAGTAGCTGATAATATTGGCCGCAGCACCAATATGCTGCTTGCCCATGCCTCGAACGGCGCCTCCGCAGCTACCATTGACACCGTCGGCGATTTGGAAAAGTGCAACCCAGGGCAAGACTTCAGCTACATGCTCTACCACGTCTTGGTCGGTGGTGAACAGCTTCGCAAATTGTTGACGAGAGATGACCAGCATCACGAGGACCATAGTTGCAACCACAATACTGAGAGTGACCGCGACGCGGCTGACTCGCTTTGCCGCATGGTGGTCCTGTGAGCCCAGGGCACTTCCCGTCCGGACACTGGTAGCGACGCCTATGCCAAAGGGTATGGTGACGAGAATTTGGTCCGCCGTCATTAAGACACTCTGAGTGGCCAGAGGCAATCTTCCCAGGCGGCCAGCGACAAGGGCGATGATTTCGATGGCCCAGAACTCCGTCCCGAGCTGTATAATTCCCAAAATCGCGATGCGGGAAAATAAGCCAAGGTTTCTTGTCCACTGGTACGATACGAAGCGTGCTGTCCGTGCTGAGTCCGATGCGGCGACCATCGAGGACGAACAACCTTATCGGCGGTTGGCTTCAGAGCAAGTTTTAGCCACAGAGCTTATAAAAGCCTATCATTGCAATGTTTTCTAAGGCTTTCCGTCCCCTTCGAACATATACCAACCCTTCCCGGACTCCTAAGGGCGACCGCCTTCCACGTTGGTGCCTGGACTTCTGATCCACAGTTTATAGGCTGGAGGCAACGAGAATGCATGATTAAGGATTGCAGAGGGCTAGAATTCAGATGTATTCTCTCGCTATACCTAGTATCTATGGCCTACAGACGTGCGGAACACCTCTTCACTCTCCTCAAAACCAAGTTCTGACAACCGACGTGGCGCGTTGGCATTCCCTAGCTACATTGAGTCGGCCGGTGAAACCCGATGGAACCGTGGGCATGCCAGGCGGCATCAACCCACCAGTCCTTTGCGCAAGGAGCTTCGACTGGGATGTTTAGCGTAGGCAGCTGATATGGGTTGTATATCTTTATCCTTATTCGGAAAGCATTGCCATACTAGTCAACCACCTCAACCTTGTGACGATCGTCGACCCACCCAATCGCAAGGGATCTGGTCAGGATAAGAACCCAAATAGTGAGGGCTTCGTAGGATTTGACACCAATATCGGCAACACCATTAGGTTCTGGACCCTGCAGTTTAAGGAGAACTCGTTAGTTTTGTCTACGTCTTAACGAATAACAGGCATAGAACTTCTCTAGAGCGAACAGCGGGAAGTGCGATTGATCAGCTACAATAAAGTTTCACGGGCCCAAGTTGCACATCAGCAGGACGGAGACAGAGATAGTTCAAACTGAGCCGTGCCCGTGTTCAATTGATCCATAGGGATCGCCTCCCAGAAGAGACGTCTTCATTTTGGTATCCAAATGTCTTCGGGATGTTAATAAGATCGGCAGGTTGGAATATAGAGAGTTCAGGGCAATTCGGAGTTGGAATGAGAGTACAGGACTAAATGAATGCTCGATTTCTCGAGTTCTGCTGCTACCCTATTCTTTGAAGCTATCTATAGACCTATCAAGGCTTGACCGCGAGTCTTGTAGTATGGACGGCATACGTATCGAGCTGCGTGCGTAGCGGCGCCCTATCGACTCAGACCTTATCCCTCTTTTGCTCGCCTTCCCAAGACAGCTATTTACAATAGCAGTCGTAGTCCTCATTGGGTTTCGACTTACTTAGATGCACTAGTTAGGTATAATCCCGAAAACATTCCGATTAAATACGAGACGGCCGAGACTTACTAGAAGCATTCCTTTACCGACGATTTGCACTGTGAAACGTTAATAAGACGGACATCTCGACAAGATAGAATAACCGTAGACACAACCCTACTATACTTACGGTACTCTGACAAAACTTGACACAACCACCCCAAGCTGGGCTAGTATAGGCAGTTGATTTTACCAGTCTATAACGGACCAGATTAGCACTTAAGCTACGAGTGATTGTCTTCTTTACGGGAAATAACTCACTGGAAGGGTGTTTGATTTGCATTGTATAAATGCAAAGGAGGTGCCAACAAAGGCGAGGGCAGTAAAAGAGGCCAGTTTCATAATGATATATGTCGCAGTTCTTTAGTAGATAGTAGCTAAGTGTCACCACGGAATTGAACAAAGTGGATTGATTGTTGTTAAGGTACAAAAGGAGACTTCCAGAAGTCCAAACGAAGGTAATTGGTCAGATCCAGCATCGGTAAGGAGTCTTACCGGGGCGATAACGACAGAACAAATGCATCAAATGAGGACTCCACATTTGGGATGAAAGTACTCCTGGGTCACAGAACAGAACCTTGCCTGATCGGCAACACACCCCCTCAGATGGGTAGGCGAGCCTCTCTCTGACCATCTGAACCACGAAAGATCAGGCAGATGCCTGTTGGCGGCTTTTGGTAGAGAATTTGGTGCCTTTGGAACAGTTGGCGTTCTCAGGGCAGATGAAGGAAATCGTGCTTGTGAAGCAAATAAGGATGTGTGTAA